AATTTTTGCCAAGTGGGTTACTGGGCAGGCACCGCGGCGGACTTAGAGATCTTTGGCCCAATTTCCTGGTTGAATGTGCAATTTGTAGATGAGAAATGTCCTCATTTCCTGTGACTAGAGAAAAATAATGAAAAGAAAAAAAATGGGGCAGAAGTACTTAACCACAGGAGGTAGAGAAAGCTGATAAAAAGGAGAACTGACAACAACCTGGAGCCAAGGGGCAGGCGAATTGAAGGCAGTTGTGGCATCTTGGCTGTGTTTTCCTTCAGACCCTCCCAGCCGCGCTCCCCTGCTCCCTTGGACCACGGTGATCACCACAAAATCCTACAGCTCTGGCTCTGGTCAGATGAGAATTTCTGAGGAAGGGGCACAACGGCGTCTTTTCCAGAAAGAGGAAGTGAAATAGTTGATGCCAGGTTCCCTTTTCCTGCTGGTCGGGCCCCCTGGTCAGGCTGAGCCAGCTCCCTCCACCCTGGTTTCCTGGTAGCGGCTCTAGGCTGCTGTCTGTGTTATTCATTAACCGGGCACTAATATTTCTGTTTACCCATCTGTCATCCTACAGGGGACTCGGGAGTCTCACAATCTAACCAGCCACCCGGATCCTCTTGGATCGGGCCCAGCCAGCCACATTCAGCTAGTGGTTATTATTGAGAAGTCCCTGTGCCAGAGCCCTGTACTATATGTAGCCAGGGAGAGAGATTGTTTTCTCAAATAGGACGTGATCTGTCTGCCAGTTGAGCATATGTGCCGGGAGGTATATCCAGTGATGTGCTTGCAAGAACTGCTCATTGACATCACTTGCCAGACCCGCGTTCGGCATCTCCGTGTTGGTAGAAATCGGCCCAACGGAAGTTGGCAAGTGCTACAAATCAGGGCTTCACCGTCCTCCACCCTGCTCTTACCCACTCCACTGCCAACAAATCCCCCAACCTAGTTGTTTTAAACATTTTCTAGCACACATGAGGCGCACGCATTTGTCAGGTGGATGCGTGATAACTTATGGGGGCCTCCTCCTGGCTATTTGGTCCTTGGACAGTTCTAATGGTAGAAGGCACAGCCCCCACTTTCAGGGAGCTACCAGTCGGGTGAAAACCCCGCATGCTCGCTGTAGTATGTTACGGTTCTTAGATCTGTCCTGTGCGTTATCTCCTTGTTCCTAACAACCATCTCCCTTCAGTGGTAGGCACAGATATCAGAGTGATTGTCTTAAAATGGAAGTCAGACCATTCTGCTTTTTTGCTTAGAACCTTTGAATGGTCTCCAAAGCTCTTAGAATAAATTCAGACTATTTGTGGCCTAAAAGATTGGCGTGGTCTGGTCCCTGCTGACCTCCTCGGCTTCATCTTGTATGGCTCTCTCCCCAGGTCGCTGTATGCCAGCCCAGTGGTTCTCAAAAAGTGGTCACTGACCACCAGCTTCAGTATCACCTGGGACTGTTCGAGGTAGATTCTTGGGTCCCATCCCAGACCTACTGATTCTGCAACTGTGGGGAGGGAGGACAGTAATCTGTGCTTTAGCAAACTCTCCATGCCTACGTTTGCAGAGCATTGCTCTAGCCCCACACTGGCCCTTTTTCAGCCTTTGAGAAGCTAAGGTTTTCTCCCTCCTCCCTCCCTTTGCATCAGCAGTTCCTATTTCTAGAATGTTCTTCCCATGGGCCTTTGTATGGCAACTCCTTCTCATCATTCAGTTCTCAGCTGAATATCACTGACTCAGGAGAATCTTCGAAACTCCCTAAACCTCTCATTGTACTTTCCCCCACGTTTCTATTTTAGTCCAGTTGTAAAAACCAGTTGCACATTTTGGAATTTCCTTGCTTATGTGTTTACTTGCTTATTGACTGTTTTTCCCCACTGGAATGGAAGCCCCGAGAGGTCAGGTACCTTGTCTCTTATACACTCTGCATCTCCAGCCCTTGGAAAAGTATCTGGCTTCTAGTAGGTAACCCATACATATTTGTTGGACAAATGAGCTATTAATTTCCCAGGGAAGAAATGTGCTATATATCATATGACTTCATGCAGATCAAAGACGTGTTAGTGAGCAGCAAAAGGTTCACCATGAAAATCTCAGACCAGAGATTTTCTTGCGCTTCTGTGATTGGCAAGAGCAGCCATGTGTCTGAAACCCTGGGAATCTCTGAGCAGGAAAGGGTTTGACACTTAACTGGTTCAGCTCTTACCAGGTGTGTCTGTTTCCTCAATGTTCCAGGATAGGTATTTTCTGTTTTCCACTTCAGTATTTCTGGAACTGGGGGGTGACTACCTTGTTGAGTTAGCTCAGTTCCATTAAAAAAAATTTTTTTTAAGTGTTTGTTTATTTTTGAGAGAGAGTGAGAGCACAAGCACATGAATGAGGAAGGAGCAGAGAGAGAGGAAGACACAGAATCCAAAGCAGGCTCCAGGCTCTGAGCTGTCAGCACAGAGCCTGACGTGGGGCTTGAACTTAATGAACTGTGAGATCATAACCTGAGCCGAAGTCAGATGCTTAACCAACTGAGCCACCCAGGCACCCTAGCTCGGTTGCATTTTAAACAGCCCTGACTGTTTGAGATGCAGCTCCCTGCTTCTTCTGCCTGTGATCCTTGTTCTTCCCCCGTGAGCTACACAGAATGTGTCTTCCATGAGCTGGACCTCACCTTGGTTCAGCCACATATCCAACATTCTCTTATTTGCTTCTCTTGAGTCAACGAAAAAGCAGGTGCTTTAGAGAAAGGCAGACCTGGATTTAAACTCTCTTTCACTTGTTGACCTTCAAAAATTCCCTCCATCATCTTAGGCTACTTCTCTGGAATAGTGGCTGGCATTTATTCAGTCATCACCGTCATATGGTTTCAACTCTCCAAAACATTTTGGTTAATTCTTCTGGGCTTGATTCCCTGAGTTAGTGTCTTTTTTTTTTTTTTTTTAAGATTTTATTTTTAAGTAATCTCTATACCCAACATGGGGCTCAAACTCACGACCCCGAGATCAAGAGTCTCATGCTCTACTGACTGAGCCAGCCAGGCACTCCTGAGTTAATGTCTTAAAAAAATAATGTGTAGGTCAGGTGCTGAACATGCTACTGATTAAGACCTCAGTGAAATGGGATTAGTCTTGGCTTGTTTAGACTCTATTTCTTTTAATGCCACCCCAAATCAAATAAGCTTTTTCGGGAGGTGTAATACATCCCAGATGTACAGTCAGCAGAAAAATCCCAGATTTTTTTTCTCACACATTACTGTTAAACCATCCTATATGGTTACCTATCTAATATACGATTTCCATCATTTCTAATTTTTACTTACCTTATTTCTTTTAAGTTGGGGCATATTGGTGTTTCGTTTTGTTTGGTCTCTTAGAGCTAAGTGATACTGTAAAATTTCTCAGCAACTTTATATACACAGTCTCACTGGAATTTCAGAATAACCCTGGGAGGCATACATCATCCTCATGATTATGGTTTGGAAAGGGAGGCTAGAGGTCAGGACTTGCCCAAGGGCAGCTTAGTAAGTAGAAGCGACCATGAAGCTGGGGCTTTTACAGCAGTCCAGTGGTGTTTGAGGAAGGAAAACAGAAATGGAGCTCAGTTGGGTGGGAATTAGAAGGGAAGTCTTTCTGGAGAAAGTGAATTTTGAGTGGGGTTTTATAACAGTGGGAAAAGTAAGCAATCAGAAGATGAGGGAGTATGGAGTTGTGGCGAGAGGGACTTACAAATAGGAAGGGTCTCTCTGAAGAATATTTTCTTGGACAGATTGGGCCCCTGAGTGAGGCCAGGGATTCCTTTCCCGAGCTGCCTAGAGTAATCACTGGGGGGCTTTTAAAGGCTCATCCGCTGCCCCACCCTCAAAGAGTCAGGAGATTGGCATGGGGTGGGCGACTGGGGGGGGGTGTACTATTTTTGTACCTCTTCGTACAGTTCTGATGTAGAGCCTCTGCCGACCGCCAGGCTGGGGCTGGGATCAGTTAACCAGAGACAGTGGGCCAGGGCTCCTTCTTGGGGAGAGATGAGTTAGGAAGGTGGGATTGGGCAGGGAGAGAGGATACAAAGTAGGTAATGGAATGATAGGATAGGAGTTGCTGGAGGAGAACTCGTGACAGTAGGAAAACTCTGCAGGCTTCTAAGCCGGAGGGTTACGTTTTTTAGGCCCCTGAGATGCAGCTGATAACATGAAGTCAGGATTCACCTCACATCCCCTTTCTAGGTCCCGTCTCCATTCACCAAATCTAAAACGGGATCCCACCAGCCCCGACAGTCACTCTACTCATTACATCCTGACCTTCAGCTATTTCTGTGGTTTCCCATGCATCCCCTTCCCCCCGTGCTGCTGACTGTGCTTCTTCATCGCATTTTCGCCCACCCCAGCCTTGCAGAAAAGTACAAAAACTGTGGACACTCGCTGCAGAGTTTTACGGTCTTTATTTTCAGTCTGCCAGGCCAGGTTGTCTGCTCCTGGGCTCGCCGGTGTTGACCTCTGACTGATGGGTGCCAGGCTGCGTCCTGACCCGTGTGGGGTGCCACGGAGGGGGAAGACAAGACCCAGACCTCTGGCAGGTTTGACGCAGGGAGACAAGATACACACACGAAGGCGACTGGAGCATACTTACAAAGCAGCAAGTGGAAGCGATAGATACAGTGCAAACCTAGATCATCAGAGGCCTGAGTCTCCAGTCCTCCCTCTTAATCCCCGCCCCCCCCCTTGGCTTATAACCTTCCTGAGTCTTCTTTGACCTCATTTGGTATTCTCATCCACCTCTTTCCTGTTGGCTTCTTTCCAGTATCCACAGCTAGACCGGCGTCTAGGTGTTGTTCAAAGCTTATAGCAAGATTGCTTTAAGGACTCCGCTTGAGCCCGGTCATCCCCAGCTGCCGGCTACGTCACAGGGACTGGATTTGTATTAGCTACGTTGCTTCTGAAACCCTGGTCTGATGGTGCTTCTGTGCCTAGCCATTTCTTCTTTTTGTCACAGAGCTGTGCTCCTTTGGGCTGGAAACTTCAGTCAGGAGGGGACACCAAGCTGCTGAGAGAGGTTTTCACAGCCCCAGTAGTGGATCGGGGCTGAGGATTCCTGACCCGTGCTCCCACTCTCCCAGCCTGCTCAATTCTTAGGTAACCCAGAGTGCCTCCAAAGGTCCAGGATCCCCCTAGTCTGTAGTGAAGTCGGAACTCGGTGCTCCCTCGGCTTGACTCACACCCCTGTCCCCACTCGCCCCCTCCGCTGTCTCTCTGCCTTTGCGTCCCAACAGGGAGGAGCCCTGATGTCGCAGTATCTGCAGCCCTTTTCCAAAGGCTCTGCGCACAGCCGATGAAGAGAAGTAGAAGAGCAGGGGGTCCAGACTGGCATTGAGGGAACTGAACACCACGGCTTCGACCCGCCACGGGGGGCTTTTCTTCGTGTAATACCCCACCAGGTGGGATATGTTGTAAGGCCCGAAGCACACCAGGAAATTAAGGAGGGTCACAACAGCCAGCCCCACAGCTCTGCGCCGCCTCTGGGCCCCCACGTGGGGCTGGGTGAGCATGATCCACACAAAGCGCCAGTAGCAGAAGATGGTGATCACCATGGGGACGAAGAAGAGGAAGAGGCACAGCTCCAGCCGCACCGGAAGCACCACGTTCAGCTGCGTTTCGGTGAAGTTCTCATAGCAAGTGATTCCATTCGTGTTTGGGGTCTGCTGGGTTGAGTTCAAGTACTGACCAATGATCACGATGGTGCAGTGACCAAAGGACATGACCCAGGCGACCACGGCAGCAATCACTCCGTACACAGGCTTGCGGGACAGCTTGTACTGCACGGGGAAAGCCACTCCCAGGTAGCGCTCGATGCTGATGCCCGCCAGGAGCCACGTGCTGCAGTAGATGCTGCTGTAGAAGCCGAAACCCGTGAGGGCGCAGAGCAGCTCGGGCAGATGCCAGCGGAAGTTATAGGCGGCCTCAACCATCTTGAAGGGCAGCAGCAGCAGCAGCAGGAGGTCCGCCAGAGTCAGGCTGAGCAGGAGGATGTGGACGGGCGCAGGGTGAGGCTGGCGGACCCGCCCCACGAAGGCCCGCAGGGCCAGGAGGTTGGCAGGGAGACCAGTGAGGAAGATGACGATGTAGGCTGTGAGGATGATGGAGCTGCGCCAGTTTGTCATGGTTGCTCTGGAAGAGGACGGAAAAAGGCAGGGTCAGGAGGTGCCACTCACAGCCCACGGACCCTCGCCTGGTTCAGGCCGCGGACGTCCTCCCTGCCGCACTCTGCCTCCCAGGCCAGACCTTTCTGTTGCCACCACTGCTTTGCTTACACCACCTGCCAGAACAGCCCAGAGCAATTATTGACTTTGCCTGGGGCGGGATATTAAGCAGGAGTTATTACGTTCGCCATCATGTGTCTCTGGGGGGGGACCAACCCTTGGCTTTCTCCTCTCCTCACAGATACAGGAAGTTACTGTTATCAGTTCGTAACTTTCCTTGGGTCCCTTAGTCAGAGACCTGCGGAGGGAAAGGCATCTCACAAAGGCATCTCACGGGGAGAGAGCCGTGAGCCGTCTGTCAGGAGCACCCATGCCAGGAAAACAAACCCAGGCCTTGAGACCCAGTGCCGGCTTGCCACAGGACCCTGCCACACGCCCAGGAAGCAGGTGCCCGGCCCCCAGCCCATCTCCCTACCTCATTTTCCTCTCCTTTTGCAGAACACAGATTCTCCTCCACCTTTTCCTCTCCTGACCTATACCGGACTCTGGGACTGCATTGGAAAAAGGAAGCTAGTGATATGTAGGGAGGGACAGAGGGGAGGAAGGGTGAGCCAGTACTGTCTTTTGGGGCTTGTCCCCTAAAAGACTCTAGAGAACATTTAGGAAAGCCCACAGGTAGCAACTGGCTTCAGAGCCCGGTGTTTTGACTATAAACAGAAGAACTCTTAACGGGGTCAACTCAGTTTCCATTTGGCTTGTAACCCTCGCTGCCCATATGCAGCCCGGCCCCTCCATCCTCCCTCTCTGGGCTTGATGTCCCGGCCTGTTTCCTTGATCCCTCCTACACTGGCTCCTGTCTCCAGTTCCTCACAGACTTGTGTCAGCCCCCCAGCATCTCCCCCTCCAATCCAGATCCTGGCATTACTGCCCATAGCACAAGCACTGGGTTAGCTGCTTGCCTTGTCTGCAGTCCAGATAGGTGGCTTCTTGGGATTAGTCCTGAAGGAAAGTCTGAAAGCTTCTGGGAAAGAGGAACAGGGCTTTAGCCACTGCTACTGCCCATTTCACACAGGAAAAAAAAAATTGTAAGGAACCTGCTGGTAGAAAGCTTTTATACTAGCGTGAGTCATGTGACTGGAGAGGGGAAGGTCAGTAATTGAGCACTGTCTCCTCTCAAACCTGAAGGATGGGCACCCGCCGCCAGCATCTTCGTTCCCCGCCCCCCAGAGACCCTCACTCTGCCTGCCAAACCCAGATTCTCTGTCCCTAGGTCCTGAATTCTTTTTTCAATCCCAGGCATTTTTCCCATTTCTCAAGTCAGATGATCTTATCTTCTCTTTTCTAGGCAATTTCTCCTGTGATTCTTCTCATTTTCAGAAAAGAAGTTTCCTACGTTCTTTCATTCTTCAATTTTTTTTTTTCCCCTGTATGGTCTCCTGTCCTCTGCCCACAACAGGTCTCTTTTGCCCTCTTGATTGAGACAGATTGGTTTCGCCTAGCCTGCGTCTTATTCTGGTGGAAATAGTGTGGGATTTAGAGTCATGCAGATGTGGGCTCAAACCCAAGTCCCTCCACTGTGACCTTGGGGCAGGTAAATTTCTTTTTTTTTTTTAATAATTAATTTGTTTTTTAATTTACATCCGAGTTAGTTAGCATATAGTGCAACAATGATTTCAGGAGTAGATTCCTTAGCGCCCCTTACCCATTTAGCCCATCCCCCCTCCCTCAACCCCTCCAGCAACGCTGTTTGTTCTCTGTATTTAAGAGTCTCTTGTGTTTTGTCTCCCTCCCTGTTTTTATATTATTTTTGCTTCCCTTCCCTGATGTTCATCTGTTTTTTATCTTAAAGTCCTCATATGAGTGAAGTCATACGACATTTGTCTTTCTGACTAATTTCGCTTAGCATAATACCCTCTAGTTCCATCCACGTAGTTGCAAATGCAAGATTTCATTCTTTTGGATTGCCGAGTAATACTCCATTGTGTGTATATGTATACACACACACACACACACACACACACACACACACACACACACCCCACATCTTCTTTATCCATTCATGCATCGATGGACAGTTGGGCTCTTTCCATACTTTGGCTATTGTTGATAGTGCTGCTATAAACATCAGGGTGCCGGTGGGGCAGATGAATTTCTGAATTTTAACTTCCTTTTCAGTCAAGTGTGGATGGGAATACTTCCATCTCAGGATTTCTGTGAGGCGTGGATGAGCTAGCATATATAAAGCATAGGGGCCAGTGCTTAGCACTTAGTGGGTACCCATGAGTGGAAGCCTGTTGGCAGCGTCCGAGCGACTGAGCCACTTGGTAAAATATCCGGAGGCTGAGGCCACCGACATGCCGTCTGACTTGGGGGAGTGTCAGGGATTCAGGAGGCCTGATGTCCCTTTTACAGGGAAGCTGTGCCCAGGCTCGGTGTCTTTCCCCCCACGTGTTCCCTCTCCCTGTGGGCTGCACCTGACCTCTGCGCCACCCTTGTCCTTTCCTCATCCCCTACCCCCCTGTCTGTGTAGCCCCTCTAGAAGCTCTTCAAAGCCCTGTCCAGATACACACACGGAGGAAACCAAGCCAGAACTTACTTTCCTCTTGAGGTAGGGAAGGGGCCTCTGTTTTGCCATCTGTGCTTGCTCCCAAATTTATTTGTATCATTTTGCTTTTATGATTTTCTATAAATATTCATGAGGATCTGGAGTTAATGGCAAGGCAGACTTCCTGAACACAGATGTTGAGTAGGACTGCCGCTTTACCTTGGCCCGTCCGTCCCCTGCCTGTGCCTGTTCTCATGTCACTGCACCCTGTCACCTGTGTTGGCGAGGCCCCACTGAACCCCCTCCTCCATGTTTGGGGTAGTTATGAAGGTAACAAAATAAAGGAAACTTGGGGCTCATGACTCACAACACCCACCTATGTCACATGAAAAGGAAATGCAACCTCTGAGGCCGAATTCAAGGACTGTGCTTTCACAAAAACCATGTCTTTCACAATCTCTCCCAAGTTCAGCTTTCTTTCATCATTATTACAGCCCAGCTTGTCAGAATAGGAAGTTGGGCCCATTATCTAAAATTTATGTATAATCACTTTCTCTACTTCCTTATTCCTCAATCAGTGCCCTCCCCCATCCCCTCGAATCTGGGTTATACCTCTGTTGTTCCATAGGACCTGCTCATCCTACGATTGGCAGTGACCTCCATGCAACTAAATTCAGTGGACATTTTCTTCCTATTTTATTAGCCTTCCACACAGTTTCCATAGCCTTCTTGAAACATTCTCTTTCCGTGAATTCTCATATATTATGCTCTTCTGGTTTCCCTCACTTTGCTCAGGTCACTTCTTAGTTTCCTTCACCGGCCCACCATTCCCTGATCGTCCTCTAAATGTTCGAGTCCCTTAAGACTTGGCTTCAGGCGCTCTCTCGTCCTGGTCCTGTGTAGCTCTTTGGCCTGTTGCATGCATTTCTGTAGTGTCGGTTACCATCTTCACAAAAGCCAGTTTTGAATCTCTATCCAGGGCTTCTGTGAGCCTTCACATCCACATGTCCAAATGCCTGAGAGACACTGTCATTCAAATGTCTCCCAGGCATCTCAAATGGAGTGTGTCCAGAGCTGACCTTCCCCAACAAGTTAGGCCTTCTTCCAGCATTCTCCCTGTTGGGGCATGGGATCTCTTCCCATTCCATCCCCTGAGCCATAATCTTGGAGTCCGTCTCAACACCGTCTTCTTCCTTATCCCCTGAATGCAGTCCCACACTTCTCAGAGCCCATTGAAGGCGTCCGTCTCTCTCCGTCTCCATCGTCCCGTGTCAGCGTAAGCCGGAGTCTATTACTAGGAGGTTGGCAGGGGCCGTGACCAGCTCCTTCCCAGCCACTCACATCCTGACAGTCAGTTCTCCATACTGTAGTTAGTGGGATATTTTAAAAATATCAAGCCACTTATATCACCCTCTTGTTTAAAATCCTTTCTGAGGTTTCTTATTGCCTTGAGGATAAACATCAAAACTCTTTAAAAAAATTTCTTTAATGTTTATTTGTTTTTGAGAGAGAGAAAGAGACAAAGCACAAGCAGGGGAGGGCAGAGAGAGAGAGAGAGGGAGACACAGAATCCTAAGCAGCCTCCAGGCTCTGAGCTGTCAGCACAGAGCCTGACCCGGGGCTCAAACTCACGAACCACAAGATCATGACCTAAGCTGAAGTCTGGCACTCAACCAGCTGAGCCACTTAGGCGCCCCAACGTCAAAACTCTTAACAAGGCCTATAAGGCCTGCTCGGCATGGCCCTTGCCAACTACCAGCCTAAGCTCATACGTCTCTTCTCTCTCCTTGCTGTCTCTGCAAGACCATCTCTCGCTTCCATAAACGTGCCACCTTGCCTCTGCCGGGGGCTCATGACCCAGCCTGTGCCTGCAGCGCTCTATTTCTTATGACCCAGTCCTCCTCCCCAGTCAGTCCCCAGCCTTCTTTCAGATGCCCGCTTCCTTCTTAAGAAAGCCCTCCCTGACCTCCTAGGTGCAGTTAGATTCTCTTAGTACGTGTTCTCGGAGCACTGTTGCTGAATAGTATTCTGTTTCATGGATATTTCATATTTTATTTATCCATTCACCTGTTGCTAGACATTTGGGTATTTTTTTGTTTTTCAGTGTTCGGCTAGTGTGAATAAAGCTGCTATATGTACATTGTTGTTTAGCTCTTGGTGCAAATATGTACTTTCAGTTCTCTTGGGCAGATACCTAGAAGTATATTGGCTAGGCCGTATGGTCAACTTCTTGTTCAACTTCTTAAGAAACTGCCAGCAATGTACGGGCATTCCAGCTGTTCCACAGCATCACCAGCCCCTTGATAGGTGTTAGTCTTAAGTTTTAGGCATTCTGATTACAGGCCCTGGTATCTCGTTGTGGTTTTAATTCGCTTTTCCCTGATGACTGTTGACGTTGTGCCCTACCAGTTCCAGGTACTGGTCATCTGTTAGATTATGGGTATTATATTTTTTCCCACTGTATGCCTTGTGTTTCCATTTTCTTAATGGTCTCTTGAAGAACAAAACAATTTTGAATTTCGACAAAGTCTAGCTTATTTTGTTTTCCTCTTATGTTTTGTGCTCTCATGTTCTAAGAAATCCTTACCTACCTATCCAGCCCCACATCCTGTTGAATTTCCTCGGTATCTTTACTGAGAACGAATTGATTGTATCTGAGTGGGTCTGTTTCTTTTTTTTTTTTAATTTTTTTTTTTTTAACGTTTATTTATTTTTTTGGGACAGAGAGAGACAGAGCATGAACGGGGGAGGGGCAGAGAGAGAGGGAGACACAGAATCGGAAACAGGCTCCAGGCTCCGAGCCACCAGCCCAGAGCCCGACGCAGGGCTCAAACTCACAGACCACGAGATCGTGACCTGGCTGTAGTCGGCCGCTTAACCGACTGCGCCACCCAGGCGCCCCTGAGTGGGTCTGTTTCTTAAACCTCTCTTCTGTTCTAGCAATCCTTAATGTCTTTCCTTTTACCATCTCCCACCGTCTCGATGACTGTAGTTTTATAAGAAGCCTTGGAATCAGGAAGTGTTAAGTCCTCTAACTTCATGTTGTTTTCTAAGATTGCTTGGGCTCTTCCAGGTCGTTTGCATTTCCAGAGAAATCAGTTTCTACAAAAAAGCCTGCTGGAGTTCTGACTGGGACTGTGTTGAAGGCATAAATCAATTTGGAACTGTCGACATTGGAATCACACTGGGCCTGCCAATCGAGGAAACATGACCTATCTCCATTTCTTTAGGTGTCGAATTTCTCTCAGCAGTGTTTCCGCGTATTCAGCAGAGAGGTTTTACACATCATTTCTTGCATTGATTCTTAGCTATTTTTGGTGCTCTTACAAGTTGAATTTTTAAGACTTTATTTTGTAATTATTTGTTGCCGTCGTAGCATCTTTTACAATTCCTTCACAGCACATGTGTATCTCAATTTGTTATAATACCTTTATCATGTGAGGATTTGCTTAGTGTCCATCTCCCTTGTGAAACTATCCGTGAAGGCAGGGAACATGGCTGTTTTTCTCACCATTGTATCCCCAGGGTCTGGCATA